TGCTCGAATCTTCGATTGAAGATTCGAGAAGTTGGAAGTTGATTCGAGGTGAGCAACCAACAGATCCGTAACGAGGGTGGTTAGGGGGTGCCTTGGGGTGAGTTTGGAGTTGGTTGGTGTATGTTTCCGTTTGGCTCAAATCTTTAAATGAAGATTCGAGAAGATGGGGGAAGATTTGAACTACACGAGTAACATATTTGGAACGGGGGTGGTCAGATGGTCTTAGGGTGTTAAGGTGGTGGTCACCGGCGTTGTTGCCGCCGGCTTTCAGACTGAGGGATTTCAGGGCGGCTAGGGTTCGGGGTCAGTCTCTGAAAGAGACGATGAACAGGGCAAAAGGGGGGGTGTTTGGTTTGGGGGAGCTGGGGTAGGATATTAAGTTTATATAGGGGAGGGGTGGTTTGATCTTGGCCGTTGGATCAATCATGATCCACGACCTGGATCAATTCACTTAAAGGGGACGACACCGTTTGGTCTCATTTAGAGACTGGGTCGACCCGGGTCGAAATGGACCGGGTTGTGAGGGAAGCTTGGGACCGTTGGATCAATGGAGATGGACGGTTTAGATCGACATGCCTGAAACGGCGCCGTTTCAACTATGCAGGGGCTGAACTGGATCGTTCGATCCAGTTTGATCAACGGCTCAGATTTGAGACGCCATTACGACATCGTTTGGGGTTATCTGAGACCAGGCAATGGATTGGGTCATGCATTGGGTATTGATTTGGGCCCAATTTCATTTTAAACCTTGTGGCCCAATCCGAGTTTTCTTCATTTTTTGAACTCTTTTCCTTTTCCTTCTTTAATTCCTAATTTTAACACAATTCCTAATTAAATTGTAAAATTAAAATACAACTACACAAATATTAATTAACACTTACAACAATTAACGCACAAATTAAAACCTTAAAATAAAATCACACAATGACAACAAATAGAATAAAACGCATATTTTCGTGATTTTCTTTTTTTTTTAGCGCCAAATGACGGTTTAATTAATTCCTAAATGCATAATTAAATCCTAAATATGCATACAAAATGTATTTTTTTTGTATTTTTCAATTAACTACAACAAGGTAAACATTTACGGACAAAAACACAAATAATTATCCAACAATGCCACGTAAATCCTAAAAATTGTTCACCAAGAGAATTTTGTTTTATTTTTGATTTCTTTTGGAGTAGTTTTCGTGAAGCAAAAATCACGTGCTCACAGTATCTATAGATGGTTAATTACTACTAAAAGATAGTGCTTTATGAAAATTTCTCATTTTTCAATGACTTTGCAAAGACTAACTATTTTTCAATTACCGGTCAGAAAACAGGCTAGTTATGTTTTCATGTCCAATACAATTCAAAAGGCAGTCCGGTGCACTAAGCTCCTGCTATGCACAAGGTCTCGAGAAGGGTCAGACCACAAGGATCTATTGTAGGCAAGATTACCCTACATTTCTGCAAGAGGTTGTTTTCACGGCTCAGAACCCGTTACCATCCTGGTCACATAAACTTTTAAATATTCCTTTTCAACTTAACTTCAAATACTATTTTTTCTTCAAATCTCAACCAAATTATGTCCCAATGCCTACTTGGAAAACATCACAAGTACAGTACAACCGTAATGTGAAGATCAATATGTAAAATAGGAATGCTAATGCAGTAAAGAAGCAGCTCATGTTCAAATGATGACACTAATTACAATCACAGTGTTTCAAGTCATATAAGTTACTAGTCTCAAGATTACACATAAAAATGAACTACCTTTTTTCTAAGCAGATATTTTAAATTACATCAATCCCACAAAAAAAGGTAGGGACGATGATCTTCTAGGCTATTTTTCTCAGTTTTCTGATCATGTTATTGGAAAATCCATTCCATTAGACCACCTATACTTCCAAAATTTGGAGGAAAAAACTGTCATTATTATCATAATCATGCCTAAATAAAGTTTCTCCTTACAGCCTGTGCACAACTCATGCCTTTCTATGCTACAACACCGTTATATCATAACATACACGAAGAAAAGGTTAGTCCGGTTATATGTCATTTTGCTTCTTCTCTGCAATGACAGAAAGTTCAGCACATCTTTTTTGCTAACATCCTACTCGTTCTCGTAGCTTGAAAGACGAGCATCTGACAAAACGGTGAAAAGTTGTGTATCCACAAAAAGCTGCATAACCAAGAAGAGGATGTATCAATGAGATGTTTCTAAGCTTCGAGTATAAGAGGATTACGCAATCATACTACTCTGGGGAAAAAAATTCACGAACAATATCTCAAGGAAAAGGTTCTATGTTAGCACAACAATAAAAGATGACGATAAACTCAACAATCCACTCCATTAAAGGCACGAAGATGGGTACTCTGCTCTCATGCATTTAACGCAACACCATCCTCAAGTAATGAGAAAACGACATGTTAACTGTGAAAACCAAAAGAAAAATACGTGTTCGCACATACGACTCCAATTCGATTGCATCAAATACGGAGGCGTATTATAAGTGTAATAATAGACCATCGAAGAATAAGACATACGACTCCAATTCGATTGCATGTTCAAAATCATTAGTCAGCAGAAAGAGAAAACCAAAGTTCCATTCCAACACCACAGTACAATGTGCTGTGCATCTATTCTGATTGCCAAATTAATGAGGGGGCTCAGCTATTCAGCAGAATATAGCATCCAATACCACTTAACAATACATCAAAGCGCCTTAAAAAGCAGTGATATGTGCTACTGAGCAAGCAACGTGAAACTGAAAAGAGAATTAAATAACTACCACTTACTGATAACAGAGAAATTGATTTACCTTCACAAAAGGTTGATCCCTACCAGGAAAAGAATCAATAAAGCTATCCTTTAGCAGTATCGAGACCTGAAAAATAATAGGAGAAGCTTAATGGACTTAGACTACTAGTTTCCAGATCAACCAACCAAAAGATTGTGGAGTCAATTGGAAACCCGTCATTACCCGGTCACTGTTTGATTGTACGCTAGTTATTGTATGAGACCTCAAATCTGAACAAAGAGACTCTAAATAGCGCCGCATAACAGTCAAGAATTGTGCTGCAGCTTCAGCCTGAAAATTAGTCATAATTTAACATAAAAAAACATAAAAGGAGAAAAGCATGTCATAGGGGAAGAATTAATCAATTCAGAAAATGCAGCTATGACACAAGCACCATTTGTACAATAAGAAAACTAGGCTGTACATAAAACCTTTTTTTACCAAACAATAAAAGTTTTCTTTATGCTGTACATAAAACTTTTTACTTTACCTGATCAAAGAAGAAGGTAAAAATCAGTAGGCTGTACATGGTGAAAGGATTGCTATCGTCATGATATAGAACCAGCAACACCCTAACGTAGTTCAAATAGATAGTTTTCCAAAATCAAAGTTACATGCCCTTTCTTCTTGTCCCCTTTTGAAATTGACTCCACACTTATACTATGTTTTCAAATTCCTCATCCTTGTCCTCATCTTAATTCATACTTAGGCTCATAAAGGTGCAAGAAAAGATGGAAGATAACACTAAATATGAGGCTGGCTGATCAAGCTCCATTTCTTCAAAATAAGAATCCTAATATCAGGCTAAGCACGGCACTAAAATAAGTTGAATAATGACAGATACCTGCACTTCATTGCATCTGTATATAGGGCGCCTTTGAGCAACAGTATCTTCGCGTGACAATCTAGCGTGGATTGGCCGCAATTCTGACAGAAGCTCCTTACGTCGAGGAAGTAGAGGCAAGTAACACGATTTTATCTGCAGGCTCAACATATAAATTAGTAAATAACAAGATGAAAAGTTTGAAAGCTAAGACAACTAATTTCTAGCAATACTAAATGCCATGATATTAGTACCATTACATTATCCAGAAATATTGAGAAGAATTTATATGCTCTAGAAAAGCACAAGCTAAGAAAACTATAAAGCCTCTTGATATGCGACACCAAAACCACTTACTAGATATAATAAATAACTATAACTATAACAACTAACCTGGTCTTTGTTTACATTAACACGGACAAGATTAACACTTTTCATCTTCAAATCAGTTGGTTTGTGCTGCAGGCCAACCTGTCAATCATTAGGAGAATACAATGAGTTCGTGCAGTTTAGCATGCTAAGAGTGTCCCATTGTAGTTTCTGTACATGGTTTTGGGCAATCCTCGTCTAATGGGCTAGCTTTTAGCATTGAGTTAGGCGCAAGGTCAATTTTCTTAGTAATGGGAAAACTATAGTTCTTCAGTAGTGCAACTGTATCAAGGTTCACTAGTCTTGACTGCACTTGACGTGTTCCATGCACCACCTAAAGTGGACGACATCTTCCATTATCATGCTCATGCATGCTATTATTTGTAGGTCTTGAAACTAAAATACAATTTTTCTGTAGCTGCTGAAGTCATTTCTCTTCCGATAAGCGGGGGGAGAGGAGGAAGTGTTCTCAAGAGAACCCTTTTTTTGCACGCTCACCTTGACTATTCCACCGGATAACTGCTACCTCCAACAACACATATACAAGGTAGTTCTGCTTGCCAAGGCTTAGGCAGATGGGAAGATCACTTTGTCTCTGCTAGGATTTGATGGTTTTTAAGGTTTACACTCACTTCATTGACCACTAAGCCAACCCTTGGGTGCTCTCAAGAGAACTTTTATACTATAGCCATTTAAGAGGATAATAATATTGACACGAGAACTTTAGCCCTTTTAGTATTTTATTAAGAGTTAATCTAACATAGTTAATTTTCAATGTTCCCCTCTTCTAGTCTTTCAGTTCTTTCTTCTACAGCCCCTCTTAGGGCAATTCTTAAGAAATAATAGTTCCTAATCCCACTGAAAAGTAATAGAGGGATGCCTAATAAAAGATTTCACATTGTCTTACATGGACAGTAGGCAGGCAACACAGAACTATTCTCAAACCACCCACTTTACCCAACCCAGCTGGAACTGCAATTGGCATCCAGTTCTTTGTGAACGCGCGCATATATGTGAAAGAACATTAATGCAGATGCCAAGACAGATGCTAAAATGAGAAGAGAAAAGAAGGGGGATATTCATCTGACTGCTTCTGGCACTTAATTGACTTGTCTAGTACTATAGAAGGAACAAACTCACCAACCAAACGTATAGCATAAGTTATAGTTAGACAGTCTTAAGATTTCAATAAAACTGTAGCAGAACTTCTCCAAGGTAGAAGGATGAGACAGAAAAAGGAAAACAAAAGAAACTCACAATGAAAGGTACAGGAGCATCAAGGAAATCGAGCATCTTCCCAGGCAAAATCTGAATTAAGAAACAAAGTCAATTGATGATTGCTACAACACACATATTGCTGCATAATTAAGTTCTCGTGTAATTCAGTACCGCCGAACCATGAAACAGCATTGCAAATTTCAAGAATTAAACCTAGTTTCAATTTGACACACCCTTTTTTCTCTGTAAACCCTATCAGCGTTTCTAGACCAAAATAATTCAGATTCAAACCTAAATTTTTTATGTCATTTTCAGGTTCTTCTCCTAAACCTTGAATTCGTAACTTAATTCCACTTCAGGTAATGCCAAGAAAAATTCAAACTGAAGTACTATGAGGATGAATTCCTATCATTATATTGCAGGGTTTACTACCAGTTCGTGAATGATTATCTTAACAGTTCACAAGTAGGATTCCTCAAAATTGAGTGCTACCTCTTTAAAAGGTAGTCTATCAAAATTCACATTTCAGATCCTAAAGTTTGGATTTCCATGCACAACTACTTGATTCATTTATATTTGGTAGGATCTCATAATAAGAAATGCAACTCATAGTCTTGTCAACGAGTGCCGACAGATTATACATTTACTATTCAAGAGTTTATTCAACTAGAAACCCCATAGCGAAGAAAAACAATTAGTTGTGAACAAGCAACACTCCTGTACAGAATGAAAATTACATAAAAAATATAGGTACTCATTCAAACACCCATTAACACGTCGAACATCCAAAATAAGATACAATAATGGTACAGTACAGTAAATATCCTCAAAGATTACAGACACAAAATTATGAGGCTTAGAAGTAATAGCTATGTTACAGAACGTACAGGTAAGAATAAACTCTGCCATTGAAATGGACGAATAATGGGGATCAGAGATAGCACCACAGCAGATAGAACACCCTGTACTTGTTGCAAAATAAGAAAATGAATAAACTCTTTATGAAACTCAAGAAATACCAAAAGCATATGAATTCCAAGACTAAAAAACAAATTACCAAATTGGGGCACACAATAACCACTTGTTTTTCAAGAAGCACTCCAGTGACTAAGGCCAATATCTGAAAGAGCATTCCTTGTCAAACTGAATAATGAATGCCATCTAAAGCTCATAGTCATATGCAGTGAATTTACGAAGTGCAGACACTTGTTAAAATTTGGGAATAGGTAAGCTAAGTGGCTAACAGAGACTGACGCAGTCCGGGTTTCAGAACAGTGGTCAGTAGAAACAAAATCAGACGAGTTAAGGACTACTCAAAATCTTACCGTCTCAATTGAAAGTGCACGACAGATTGTTGCAGTTGTCCATATAGATAGTCCAACAGCTTCCTCAGCAGCGGCTAAATGGAAATTTACCTAAGAAAATAATAACTGTCATCAATAAGAAAGAGAAAAAAAATTTCAATCCCAATGACGCGAATTAGAAATGATCTAACCTTTGCAACTTCATCTGCATCCTTCATGCTTGTACCCAGATGTTTCTCACTAATTCCAAGTTCAGAAACTGAAATTCTCTCGTATTCAATAGCCTGTAGATGTTCGAGTGGCTGAAAAACGATCTTACTTCCTCGTGGTGGAAGGGGCAAGGAATGATAACTACAAACTATTTGCAGCAAATCATTCTTATTCTCCTACACGAGCATAACAAAGTGATTAGAGGAGGTGTGAACTCATAGGTGAATCAAACACTAACATGAATTTCTGTGGGTGGAAAAGAAAACTACAGACTCTAGCCCACTCCATTATCATCTCACACCCAGCATCCTTGTCGTTGCTGAAAAATAAGTCATCGTCTTCGTCCTCGGATGCCATACTTCTTGCTGAACTGCCAAAAGAAAACAACTTATTGACTAATTTATATTTAATGTGAGGAAATAATGTTTATGGTTCACATATGCTGGATAAAAGACAAGATGAAAACAAGAAGAATAACAGTACTCCATTCAACAAGAAAGGTATAAAGAATAAAAGATCTGACGCGATTAAGGCAAGACAAGAAAGTTAAAAGTTGACCACCTAAATAAGGATTCAAAGCTTCCAAGACGCTCCAAAGAATGGACCTTTGAGCAGACAAAAGGCCCGCTCTCAGGGGTTCGGTAATTGTCTTGAATTCCAAAAACCCTTTCAGCACTATCGGATCGATTTTCTGAGGCCTCGGATACACAATCATCAAAATAATGGATGTTCCTTCCCCCATCCTTACCGAATCCTCTTGCTTGACTATGATCTGATGCCTCACTGGCGGTGATACTTACAGGTGAAGAAACTTCCCACTTTGATGATGACGAGGGAACCTCATCGTCCGAGATTATCCCAGCAGCAGCAGCAGTAAGAGCAATTGCACAGTCAACTGGTATTGCAGAAGCTGTCCAATCTGCTTCATCATCCCTGTAAGGGGAATCAACGTTTGCATTTGATGCGTCATTCATTTTCGATGCAGAGGGGATAAAATCAGTGAGATTTATTTCACTAACAAAATGTGTTATCCTATTCAGACGCTCTTGTGCAATTACACTGCATTAAAGTAAATATAATATAGTCAATGGTATAGAATAAACAAAATATACAAATTTATTCATACCAGTAGACAGCTGATGAGAAATTCAGCGCAAACCTGTTCAACATCTCGTAGTGTAATTCAAATAAAGGAACTCTTGTTAAAAGACAATAACAGCGGGGTGCGGAAACCAAAAACTGACTGCGACCAACTGCTGATTGGGAAAGAGGTGATGAAGGAACATAGATAGCAGGTGGTTTCTGAACAATTTCTGGTACATGTAAACATACACCATAAAGGGTAGCATTGTCTGCCACCTGATGCAAAGCACATATTGTAACTTCAGCATTTTACACAAATTAATATGAACACAATGAAAAGAAGAAAAGGTAAAAATCCAAAGCTAACATATAACACCACTTACAGCAAATAGAAAAAGTCATCCACAAGAAAACTCCAAAACAAGAAAAAAAAATGAGCAAGAAAATATCAACAGTGGAGGAAACCAGGTCGACGTCCTTCGCTTAGAGTAGTCGACAGTGGCTAGTAAGTTAATTACTCCTAGTAATATTTGTGCATAGCCTAAGACTCCTATAGAAGGAGCACCTTGTACATTGTTTAACATCAACTCAAGACAAATTTTCTCCTCTTCTCTTTTCATTGAATACTCTTGACTTCTTCAGGATTCATCAAAAAATAGAAGCTTTTAATTTAAAACAGAGTAAGTTTGCACCATCAGTTCCACAATGATCTAAGGGAAAAGTAGAAAAGCACAGAAGAAAATAAATGTTAAGTACTCAGTAAAGACTGAATCAAAAGTATAGAATTGTCACTTGGAAAGAAAACTGAAGAATTAATGTATCAACTTATAAAGCACCGAAGAAAGCAATACCAAAGTTCATGTCAATTAATCAACTAAGCATCAATCCCAAATCAAAAGTCAAGAATTCAGAGAAATTTCCTTGGGCTTACCTTAAGGGAAAATATGAACGACAAGTCATCTCTGCCTAAGTGCTCCTGAAGATAAAGGAAAAGTTACGCTAATTTCTATAAGAAGAGAATTGTTTGCTTTGCTGCATAATAAAATAATATGATGCAAATGAGCATCAAGATTTCAAGCAGAATCGAAAAATAAATCTATTTTACTTTACCTGCCCATAGACCAGCTCATTTAGTTCACTAAATGATGGTGTCCTTTCCATTACATGTGCCTGGATTACAAAGTAAACACATGAATGTATGGGATAATTTTGAGAAGTAGAATGCCTTGAGTTATACGCTGATGATGAAAACACAATTAAAGTATTAGACCAGCAAAACTACACCTTAACACCTCCAGGAAAGCAGAATGCTGCCAAATCCTTCATGCGCATAGCTAACTTCTTTCCAGGAGGATACTTAAAGAGTACCTGCGAGAGAGGGGAAAGAAAAAGGAAGATAGTGTCAAGGAAAGAAAATATATCATACAATGTCATTGAGATATACGTCAATTATTGATGCCCAAATGGATATTTACATACGTACCCACAGCGACAATGTATGACCAATCAAATATTTGATGAAATAAAAACTGGAATATTATAACTGGAAATATTTGAGGATCCGAATCCGAGCTTCAATATAATATTTGAAGAAATAAAAAAAATATAATAGGAATATTAATGCTCAAGCCCGTGAACAAAATACCAACTTATAGGATCATAAAATATGAATTGAAACTCCTAACTAGAAGAAAGGGATCAAGAAGTCTACACATTTCTGCTTGGTAACAACCTGAAATCATATCTAAATTAGACTTGTGACGCAGAACAGGTTTGACCGTGTTTTGGGAAAAGAAAAAGCATCTATTCAATTTTTTTCTCTATGACTAACACACCTAAGGGCTGTACTAATTTGTTAGTCATAGTGAATTAATTTGAGATGTGAAACAAAGTTGGCTTTCAATAATTTTATTATTTATGAGAAAGTTACCTCTTTTCAGAATAAGCAGAATTTGACTTGTAAACCATAAATATGCAGATTTATGCAAGTAAACAAACCTGAGGTTCTAGGGATGGAACTGAAGGACCACAATTTGAAAGCATTCTGAAATCCACCATGTCAGATGTTTCTAACTGTACTTCCCATTTTTTTCTCCTGGCAAATGCATCCTCAACATCCTCAAGATTAGCATCAGGATGAAGACCAACGATAACAAAGTGCTCAAAAAGCGTGTCGGGCTCCTTATATTTCTTATAATCCTGCGCAGATTTTTCGTTTGTTTGCATCAAACATGATTCCCCAACTTAATGAGCAATCTAATGTGTAAGAGCTGAAGGCTAGTTTTCAAGCCAAAACAGTTGGGTAGAATTACTGAATCAGAAAAACCCATATATATTTACTATTACTACCTCCCTAGAAAGGTCCATAAGTGATATGTGCAAAGTATATAAGCTTGTCATCGATACTTCATCCTTGTGCATCAAAATGGTGATGTTCAAGCCAACTTGCCCGCCTCGACTATTTTATCGGGAACCTGCATCTTCTGACCAGTACTGCTACCGGGTAACTCTGCGTACCAAAGCTTAGGCAATTGGTAAGAGACCACCTACCTATTTGCTCGACTATCACTTGAATTCTTATTGATGCTTTCCTATCACAAAATACTCCCGTATAATCTTCCATTACAACCATCTTATTTTGCATCGGCATTATCATACAATTCTACTAAAACATTTATTTTTTAGGCATCGAAATCACATCTAATCTCATTTCTACTTCATTCTAATTATAGTGGCTTAACTTGAAGTGTGTATTTTCAGTCTTACTTCTTGTATCCTAATACCCTTACTCGATAAATTGATACTCCATATTAAAAAGGAACCACGGAGCAAAGAAAGGAACATAGAATTGTCTATTCTATGTCAAAATTCAACACATTATTCTCCATGTTGCCTCGAAAAGGTTGTTCAATGAAAAAGCAACTTAAATTTCTAGTTAAAAAACAGTCATAAACTGAATTACAAGCAATTTGGATCCGAATAAGAAAGCAGCATACCGAGGTTTTCGAGTGAAGCTGATACCACTGTCGCTTTTGATTAGCCAAAACCTCAGGATTAAACGGTAAGAACGAGCAGTCTTCTTGTGAAGTAGTACCCCAATTACGCAAAGCCCTTTGCATTTGAGACTTCCATTTTGTAAAATTACTGCTTCCACTTCTATGAATAGAAGAAGTCACTATCTCACTACGACTTCTTCTATGTCCAACAACCCCAGTATTTGGTGAAAATCTCGAACTACTACTTGAGTAAACGTTTTGTAGCGCCTCACCAGCAACTCTTACTGCTTCCTCGGATATTTGCTGTAATACCCTGTAGGGTGATGATGGCAATTCTTCTTGCCCATTGCCTTCTTTCATATTAATTCCTTTATTATAACAACTCTACAATAAGCAAACAACAATTGTGTCTCAGTCCCAAACAAGTTGGAGTCCGCTATATGAATCCTCGCTGTCCAAGAGTCTCCATTTAAGCATTTTTCCCAAACAATTCCAAGAATCAATTTATACACTTCTTCTGTCACATTATTTGATTGATAGTTTCAATACATTCATAAGAATTACAGCCAAACTGAACTAACCCATCAAATATTGTTCCTCAATTTGAAGAGAAATCGAATCTTTGTTCACTGAACATTACCAATAATAACCTTTCTCATCAAACCATTCCAGTTTCAATGCAGACTTGAAATTTACAGCCAAATTAAACGTGACCCGCCAAGAATCTTTACCCAATTTGAAGAAAGTTTGAATCTTTATTCACTGAACGTTACCAAAATAAGACCAAAAGGCTAATTCTTGGAACCTTAAGCAAAATGCGAAGTACCCTGTGATTGAGAACAAAGGGGGAATAAGGAGAAAAAAGTCAGAATCACATATATACGTAAATTAAACTCCAATTATTGTATTAAAAAAATGTCTCAAAAACTATAGCCACTCAATCGAATAGGAAATCTGAGGAACACCCAAATTAGATACAATGTGGGAAAACACAGAAAAAGCAACCAAGTACAAAAAAAAACATATAAGAGAAATGAGAGTTACGTCTAAAATTGCTGAATCATAATAATAAATAGAGTGAATTAGTGCAAGAATCTTGGATTCTGGAAAACATGTCGGGGCAGAAAAAAAGCAAAAAAGAAGAAGAAAGATGTGATGTTTTTTTTACCTAGAACAAGAAATGTGATCGTGGTTGGTTTTTTAGCACTCGTACGATGTGGTTTTTTTTAAGGCAAGAGGTTATCGGTGTCGTAATTTGGTTGGGGGGGGGGGGGGGGGGGGGGGGGTTGTTGCCGGAGGAGAGAGCGAGGAGAATGAAGGAGTTGCCGAGAATAACGGTGGGGGAGCATGCAGAATGAGCATTGTTTTTCATAGGATCATATCACCGTTATTATTTCATGCTAATGAAGAGGAAAGTCTTCTGCCTATTCTTGACCACAAATTTTTACCATGGTAAATTCTTGTGAGTAAAAAACTCATTTAACCAAAGTTTGTCGTTTTCAATGAGAATACAAACAATTTTAATCTTTTTATGTTTATCAAAATTGAATAAATATTAATCTCTTTTACACATGAAAGTAGTTGTTTATCGCACTCGTTTGGCCATAGAATTTGGGAGTTTCTTTTCAAATATTTGTTTGTTTATAAATTTTAACATTTTTGGTAGATTTTGAAAATAAAATGTTCAAATCCGTAAAAGCAGCTTTAGAGTAGTTTTTGAAGATTTTTACTCACAAAATTTCAAATACTTTTCGAATAAAATGCATGTCTAAACACAATTTCAACTTTCAGAAAATATTTTTCATCTCATCTTCAAAAATTTATTTTTCAAGTTTCAACCAAAGTTATGTCTAAACGGTAGCTTCATTGAATGGCTCGTAAGGAGCATGTGAGCTGGGGCACTCGTAGTATAAGAGTATTAGGTTCACATGTACCTAAAAGTTTTGATGCGAAGCTTAAAGTTTGTACAAAAATTTACTGAAACTATAATAAATAGTATTATATATAAACTCATAATTTCAAAAATATAATAGGTTCAAATCTAAAAATCTTAAATATTAAATTATAGAGTTTAAATTCTAGATCCGTCTTTATACGTGAGCCATTTAAAAGGAAGAGACCATTAGAACACTTACTTTCAATTCATTCCCCAAACATAAAAACAACCTTTCATAATTCCGTCGCAAAATAAAAGAGAATTAAAAAAGGACTTTACATCTTTTCCCTTTTTCGAAGTAAAAGAGTTACACCATTTACCTAGTGATATTTCCACTTCTATGAAAAATGAAACTTTGTATTATCACAAAAATGACTTTAATTTACATGTACCCTACTTACGTCTGATGTATATTAAAAAAAACTCACTATGTCAGTAATCTAATGAGATTTTTAAACAACTTATTGAATTTGGACCGTGAGCAATATAACTTTTCAGTAGAAATGACACTAGATAACCACTCTAAAGGGCTGCTATTTAGAAATTAATTATTGCATCAAGAATTTAATTTTTCAGTTTAATTTTTTTGGGACAAAAGTATCTTGAATTGCCATGAAGTTAAAGATGTTTAGTTTAAAATTTGAGGACAAAATAAGTAGTGGCTAATTTTTAAATAATATCCCCGAAAACAACTGTCTGTGCACTTACCCCAACTTTTCAGTAAAAATTGCATGAGGCGCCCTATTTGGTTGCCCCCATTTAATCTATACCTATTTTTTTAAAAAAATTTAACTTGTATCCACTTTTTAAATAACTTGGTCCCCTTTCTCCTCCTTCCTTTCCTTTTCTTCTTCTTATTCTTCTTCTTTTTAAATTCCGTTCCCATTTCCCACTCCGAAGGATTATCCTTCAAATTTCTTCAGTTTTTTCAAGATTTTGACTTTTCTTCTACCGATAACAATACCATTATTAATGCAGTGTAACAGTTTGGCAGCTTTATATCGACGAAAGTGTTGGGTACTTCTAGCTCTATTTCTACTGTGTCTAATCCTGATGAGCAAGTGCAAGCAAATATATATCTGTAATTTAATATTATAAGGAAACAATAAAATAGTTAATACAACATTTTGATCTGCCTTGAGAGGAACATGGTTGTTGCAGAAACTTACAAATCCCTAAATACGGGTGCAAGTAGATAAATAATTAATTTTTCACATTCTTGATTTTGTCTCCACACTGCATTATCATTACAAAAAAAAATTTGTCAGTTACAAAAATAAAAATTTCAGCTCTAGAGCTGAAGTTTGCCAGTTACAAACAAAAACTTCAGCTCTTCGCCAGTTACAAAATAAAAACTTCAGCTCTAGAGCTGAACTTCAGGCCCGGCTACTAGAATGAAGTTTTGCGTGATTGCTTTTGCTACTTCAGCCCCGTATGCTGAAATTATGTGAAAAAGCGGGTACTCTTGCAATTTTTTAATTTTTTTTGCAAAGCGGGTACAAATTAAAACGTAACACAAAAAATAGGTATAAATACAAATGCCCCAACTTTTCATCACACCATCTCAAGTCGGTCCAAACTAATTGTTTAAGAGAGACTCAATTTCTCAAAACAAGCATTAATAGGAAGTACTTAGTGTAGTATTCCAAAAATGGCACAAAAACAAGTCCTTTGTTATAAAATAAAAATTGTAAAGTAAAGATAAGTATAGAGAGAAACTGATATATTATTCGAATTCAAACTGATGTACATAATGAACTGAAATCTCCTCTATTTATAGAAGAAAGGAAGTTGCTGTGTAAGCTGCTATGTAAGTTGCTATTATACCAGATATGGATAATCTTCTACTGAGAGTAATGTTTATCCATAATGGAGTACTGAAAGGATAAGCTCATTGTACCAGGTATAAATAATCTTCTACTGGGGGTAATGTTTATCCATAACGAAGTACTGAAAAGATAAACTCATTATACCGGGTATGGATAATCTTCTACCGGGGGTAATATTTATCCATAACCGAGTATCGAAAGGATAAGCTTATTATACCCGATATAGATAATCTTCTACCGGGGATAATGTTTATCTATAACCGGGTACTGAAGTGATAAGCTTCTTCAGGAGGCTTATTTCAAATAGAGTACTAAATAGATAAACATATTTACGGCGGACTCTCATATGGATAAGCTTCTTCAGGAAGCTTATTTACAACGGAGTACTAAATGAACATCCATAATATAATATATTCATAACACTCCCCCTTGGATGTTCATTCAAAGATAATGTGCCTCATTAAAACCTTACTAGAAAAAAAATCCCGTGGGAAAAAATTTAGTGAAGGAAAAAGTGTACACATATTTAGTAATACGCATTGCTGGCTGCCTCATTAAAAACCTTATAAGGAAAACCCTGTGGGAAAAACCTTAGTAAGGGAAAAAGAGTACAGCGCGCATTTTACTCCCCCTGAAGAAAATCTTATTTCAAATATTTTAGTCTCTGCATTCTAATCTTGTATACCATATTCTCAAAAGTTGAAGTTGGTAAAGACAATCTGCTGGATTGTCACTTGAACTAATTTGATGCACATCAATATCACAATTTTTCTGAAGATCATGTGTGTAGAATAATTATGGTGAAATGTTCTTCGTTCTATCTCCTTTTATAAATGCTCCCTTTAATTGGGCTATGCATGCAACATTGTCTCCGTATAATATTGTGGGTCTTTTATCACATTCCAACCCACACGTTTCTCAAATGAATCACTGATCTCAATCATATGCATTCCCTGTTTGCCGGTTTGAGATCGAGCTTTATGGGGATCGGATAAATAACCTGCATCTGCATAACCAATGCGATCTGCACCACTTTTGTTAGCATTAGCAAGATAAATAAGAGCACCCCCTCTACACCGAGATAGAGTATTTCAGGACCAAGGAGTTCCTCATCCTCCTCTAGAGGTTGGAACGGATCCTTATTTACTTCAAGTGATTGAATATCCATTGGTGTACTTAATGGGTACACTTTGTCCATGTAAAAGTATTTTTAAGACCCTTTTGGAGCTCTTCTGGAGTTCCAATAAAATTTATGACATCAACATAAATAATAAGTATAACAAATTCTGATGACATTTTCTTTATAAAAATATATGTACAAATAATATCATTTATCTAACCTTTTTTCAGCAAATTTTCACTGAGGCGATTATACCACATACGCCCAGATTGCTTTAAACTGTACAAAGATCTTTGTAATTTGATCAAGTACATTTTTCGAGACTTTGAATTATATGCTTCAGGCATTTTAAATCCTTCAGGGATCTTCATATAAACTTAATCAAATGAGTCATATAGGTTATGTCTTGCATTTAAATGGCATGATATCTCCAAGTGCCTGGACTATAGGTCTGATCCTCACAATCTTTTACAATATTGTGCACTATATTGTATCAAATATATCGTCGAAGATCATTTTGTATCGGTTCCTAAGCAGCATAACTTGTTGAGATCTCATAACTTTCTTTATTTTCAGGTACCTGAACTTCTGCTGGAGTTTCATCAAATGTTATGTCGTGGGCTCTTCTAGAGCTCATTTCCTCCTCATTATGATCATTTTGATCATTTGCTCCTATCATTTTTCAAGGATTGTTACCTTTGGAACCGATCGATTTACTACGCTTCATGCGTGTAGTAAACTTTATCCTTCAGGAACTTTAATTTTAATAGGAGCATTTGCAGCTGAAATACAATATTTAATTTTGCATCAACAAATGCTCCTGGCATTCGACTTGAATTATCTTCTAAGTGAGGATTATATTAATGATAATTCGTTTCATATAGCATATTTTTTAGCTGCTTATTCCATCCCTCAAATGTTAGAAAAACTAACATATACCCCCAATCATCTTTGGGAAACATATCTTTGTGTATTATGTTAGAGAAATTAATCATATACCACGCAACAAAAGACAGTAAAAATATTTGGTTTCTAATCCTAAACCAATTGTGAAGGGAGGACTTATCATATATTGTTGGTCTGATGCATACAAGTGCTGCTATATGCAATTTAGAAAATCTTAGACCAACACATGAAGCTTTATTCTCATAAGCAATGGTTTAACCATTAATAGGAGGTATTCAATGCTAAACCAGCTTGGATATAAACCAGCATTATCATGATGAACTGTCTTCATTTCATAATCTGAAAATTATGCTCTTAATCGAGAAAAACAATTCCAAATGTCAAACTGCAGGTTGACAATAATTACACATGTAACCATCTCATATACGCATCTATAAGTGGTTCACATGATAGATGAACAAGCCCATATTCACATTTTATATACTTTAGAATTCAGGGGTCTTAGTCCCAACTTTAACCGGTATAACCAATTTATAATGAGAACAAGCAGCACAAGAGAATTCTTGAAGAATCTTCTGGTT